GTGCATCTCCCTGCATTTGTGTCAGGAGGCCCCCAGCTCCATCCTGGGCTTGGTGACCTGCAGGCCGCAGCACCCAGTTGCACTCACGGTTATGATTCATTGCTTACCAGGATGCAATGCAGAATGGAGTGTGGGAGAAGGACATGGGGGCGGAGTCCAGGGAGCCCAGGATTTTGTTTTTGGGCACACAGGGGGCCTTCAGTACAAGCTGGGTGAACAGAGCCACAGTTGGATGTGGTTCTGCCTCACGTGGGGTTGGTGCATTGGTTGCGCAAATTAGATCACTCTGTGTGAAGGCAGAAATTGCAGTGTGGCAGAAGCCTTCACAGCTCCCTGTCCTCGCGCAGTCAGAGCCCACGGGGCGCGGGGCCTGGGCGGTGGGTGCTCGGCCTGGTAAGAGCTGAAGTAAACAGAAGCCTCGGGCCTTTGTTCACAAGAAGGGTTTTCTGAGTTGTGTCAGAGGCAGGTGTGGTCTCTGCACGGGGGGAAACCTCCCTACCAGAGTAAAGTTGGTGGAGAGGGTGCTGCAGGTCCAGCAGGCACGGGGGCGGGCCCTGCCAGCCGATCCCTGAGGGCGTTTGCTTCCGCTCTTCTCAAGATGCCGGCACACTGCTTCCTTCTGAGGAGCCGCACTGCGGCCGGGTGCTGCTGGGCGGGCAGGTGTAGCCACTGTCCTCTCTGGCTTCTGTGGAGCCCACTGCCTGTGCACGGCGGCTGCCCAGGGCCGCGGGCTTCTGCAGATTTCCTCCCTCCCCTGCACCGCAGCACTTTGGGAACTGCACCCTTTTCTAAAGACCCTAAACGAAAGTCTCCATTTGAAAGGGTATTCACACTTACTTTTAAGGAAGGGATAATGCTAGTATTTTACGACTAACGTGTCTGCAAGTGCACAGTGTCCTGCTCCCTGTGCCCGTCTTGCTGCCCATCTGCGTGCGCACAGCACTTGCTTTCCGAGCGCCGGCAGGTGGGGAGGGCCATGGTCTGCCCGGAGGTGACGGACAGGCTGTGGGCTCAGGGCTCCTGTCTCACCTCTGCCGCAGGGGAGTCCTGCACTCCCGCGCCAGCTCCCAGGATTGCCTCGGGGGATCACAGCTGCTAGCTGGGCCTTTCGCTGCCTGCGGCATCCACTGGACATAGCCACAGTGCGTCTGCTGTGGCCTCCGCCCTGGCCTCCGCCCTGGCGGGCCTGCCCTCAAGGTTCCCAGTGTCTCCTGGGTTGGCGTGGTCTGAAGTCTAGTCTTCCTACCCCAGCCACTGCCAGGAGCCCACCAGTGTTGGCAAGTGTTTTGAAAATGCAGATTTTTTTTTTATCCTCCTGCCTTTTTAAATAGACTTTTGGGTGTTGTTCTTTTGACATTGTTTGGATCTCTGAGAACCCATTGTCCCTCCCTGGCTTTTGAGCAAATTGAGAAATAAAACAAAAGAGTGGCAGATGGAGGCCAAAGAATAACTTCTATTTCTACTAAATGAGAGGCTTGAAATGCTATCAGAGTTTTGGAGCCAAATAAACCGGTTGACTGACTCCCAAGGTTGAGCAGGCTCCTCTACCCCATCCTGGCCAGTGCCGCACCAGACAGGCCACCCTGCTGCGTGGCAGAGCCTTCGGGCAGGGCCAGCTCCAAGCTGTGCAGGGAGGTAGGCGAGCGGAGCCCGCTGGCTGTCCATGCTCCGGGCTTGGGAGTCACCGTGCCTCTCGGGTACGTGTTTCTGAGGACACTGCACAGGCACCGCTGTGCTCCCTCTGCTTAGGTGAAGGCACGGGTCTGGGGAGAGGCCCGGCCCTCCCCCGAGGCCCTTCAGCCTGGTGTTTGCATAGCCGTCAGGTCCCTGGTCAGTGGAGGACACACACGGTGCTTCAGGTCAGCCTCCGGAGGCCCTGCTCCTGCGGGTGTTGTCCCGGGGCCCCAGGGAGTGAGGGCTGTGGGACTGTGCTCCCCTTGGCACTGAAATTGCAGAAAAGAACATTATTAGACTAATCTGCAAGATCTTTCTCTACCTGAGGCTGCAAACCACTCTCTAGTTTGTTTCTCATCCCTAACTCTGTCCAGCTGTACTGCTCAACCTGGCTTATCAGAAATTCCTGTCAGGCTGAGTGAAGTCTGCAAACACACGCCAGCGCAGAGTGCCCCAGATTTGAATCTAAGCCTCCTTCTGTCACAGTTGCCCGGGAGAAATGGAATCTTACAGGCTAACCTTTCCGAGTGCAGGTCCAAAGATGGTGACATTCAAGAGAGCTGAAGTCCGGAATCAAAATCTCTTATGCCTGCTGAGGTCCAGACCCATTATAGCTCACACTTTTCCCTTGACTACAGCTGCCGCCGTCTCAGCCAGCCGGCACTCGGGCCTCGCTGGGACAAGCGTGCGCCCTTCAGGGCTCAGGCGCCCAGAACGTTAGCTGCCAGGTCTCTGACAGCCCTCACTTCCGACAGTTCAACTTTTAGGAGGACCCAAAGCTTATCAGCGAACTCAGCAAAGCTGGAAGACAGCCGTGCCTGGGCCCCTGGCAGTCCTCCTGGTGAGAGCTGGTTCCCGGAGGCCGTCCCCCTGTCTTCAGGTTCTGGCATCAGTCTGAGTGAGGTCAGCAGACGCAGCTCTGCTTGGTTTCCTTTCCCTCGCGGAGGTGTCAGTTTGGAACCCAGAGCCTGTCATTTGAAATCCACCTGGGAGAGCTCTCAGCAGGAGGATGGGGACGACTCTGTTCATTTTTCATGTCTGGGGAAAACATTCACATGCCTTGCAGGCATTTTTAATGTTGTTCTGCAGTGGCTGCTTCTCCTGCCTTTGTTAGGAAGTGCGTGTGCGTGGAGTGTGTGTGTGTATGGTGTGTGCGCGCGTTACACGTTTGTGTATGAGAGAGTAAACGGCACTGACTGCGTCAGATGCAGCTGCTGTACTTACTTTCCACACTTGACTTGGGCCTTGGAAATCGCTACTGGCCTGAAGTTGTCTTCAACCCCATGTCTACCTCCCGGAGGGGTCCCCTCCCAGATCAGAGCTCGGGTGCTGGAGCACGCTTTCCTTATCCCGTGGGCTTCCTGAGGGCTGATCCCTCTGTCCAGGCTCCATCCCTCTTCCATAAAGCCGAGGCTGTGTTCCCCAGAACACGGGCTGTCTGTGTGGCGGGCAGCTCTAGAATCTCCTCCAGACTGCCTGTCTCCAAGAGTTTTCCAGTCCCGAGCCCGTGGATGAGGAGTCTCAGGTCTGGATTAGTCCCTCTGCTTCCGATCTGGGGTCTGACTGCCAGCGGAAGGTGGGCAGCTGCTCCTGGGTGCCCATGCAGCCCTGTCCCACAGTCCTGCGGAGCCAGCAGATAGCTGATGTCTGGGGTATGTAGGTGTCAGGGCTACCCTGTCTGCAAGGCCACAGAGACTGTGGTATATTGGAGCGCTTACCCTGCTGCGCCGGGCCTGCCTGGAAAGCTGCAGCTGCCTGTGCTCAGCAGCCCCCAGCAAGACCGTGCTGCCTGTGGCCTCAGTGAGCCCAGGGCCTGGCTTCCCTTGTGTGGCCTCCCGTAGTCACTAGCTGAGAACCAAGCTGCTGTGGTGCTGATCTGGCCAGGGGCTGTCTGCGCCCTCGGGCTTCAGCACTAAGCCTGGACTTCGCCAGAAATCTGGGTTCACCCCTGTCATTTTGCGGCTCCTGGGCCTCTTCTTTTTGTCTCCTAGTGGGGTGTAGGAGCTCCAGTAAAGTGTGTCCTCTCAACCTTCTGTATGAGTTTTTATTGCTGCCGTAAGAAATGACTGTAGACATGGTGGTTAAAGAACATGATCTATTGTTTCCGCTCTGGAGGTCAGGAATCTACAGCGGGTCTCTCGGGGCTGAGAGCAGGGTGCGGTCTGCAGGCTGTGTTCTTCCTGGGGGCTCAGAGGAGCTGTGCGTCCCTGCCTGCCTTCCCAGCTCTATGGGCGACTGCGCTCCCAGGCTCAGGCCCCTCAGAGTCCTTGCTGCCAACCTCCTGCCTCTGCTCCCAGTGTAAGGACCCTGTGGGTGCGTGCGGTGCACCCTGGGTAAGCAGGGTGAGACCCTCCCCTTGCAGCCTTTGATCCCCCTGCGCACAGTGATGGGTGGGCTCCGGGCTCCTTTGGAGTGGTGGTCATCACGGCTGACGAGCCCTCCTTGAGTCTGGTTGGACCCTGTTCTGGACCAGAGCCCCAAGCTTCTCCCAGGCCAGAGCTGCATCCGTGCATCCCCACTGTGGGCGGAGTTGGGGTCAGTGTTGCCTTCTGCCCTCTCTTGGTGCTCCTGAGTGCTGGGTGGGCGGTAATGGCAGTCCTTGTAGAGGTGCTGTTTCCTGAGTGTCGGTCTCTTGGATCCCCTTCCACGCAGCACCACTCAAGCTTCCTAGAAGCTTCAGAGCTGCCCTAGAAGTCAGGGCTGTTAATCTCATTTTTCAGATACGAGCTGGGAGCCCAGAGAGGTTATCTGACTTGCCAGGGTCACACAGCCTCTAGGTAACAGAACTGAGGTTCTGTCCTAGGTCCGTCTGACTTGAGCCCCGCCCCCCACTTTCCCGTCTCAGCCTTGAGAACTCACTTGTCTGAGAGTAGTCAGGTGCACCCTTGAGTGTTCCTCGTGTGGTGCTGTCAGCCCTGTGTGCGTGCTGCTGTCCCTGTGGCCTGCGAGGCGGTCCTTTCAGTGGACAGTTCTGCTCAGTGAGCTGGACAGGGTCTTGCCTGTTTGTTCAATTTAAATGTAAATATCTTACATTTACATATAGAAATGCACTCCTGAGTGCTCCCCTCAGTGTGTACCCGCACCAGCTGACACCAGAGCGTGGGCTTTCCTTCCTGAGCGCCACGGGGTCCGGCGGCACCAGGGTGGTGGTGTTCGGTGCTGCCCGGACCCCCTTCTTCCATTCTCAGAACACAAGCTTGTGGTTGGCCAATTCCTGTGATTGTGGAATGTACCGTTGTGAAGTTATTTCTCAGCCACCTTTTTCCTCTTGGGAAAACCCGCTTGACTTTGTATGCATATGATACACATTATTATTTTTTCCTTAGGACAACTACACCTTTGCCCAGCCTGGGATTCAAATGAAAGTGAAGATGCTGGAGGAACTGGTGAGCCGGATTGATGGTAAGTGGCTCTGGGGGTGGGGAGAGGGCTGACGGGGGCCAGGGAGGCACCCGGGCCTCGGAGGGCGCGGTCCCCACGCACTGTTGGCACCTGGGCCCGCTCACCCGTGTGTCCTCCAAGGCAGCTGCAGAGCGCGGATTGCTGCTCCCCACCCGCCCCGGCGTCATAATGGAGATGCAGGCAGAAGCTTGGCCGGAGGGGCACACACTCGTTCCCGACTGGGCAGGCAGCTCTTGCTCCTTGTTAAGCCCGGGCACCGTCGTCGTCTGGGTGGCAGCGTGGTTGTTTATGGCCGTCCTTTGGCACTGTCTTCGCTGTGTGCATCGCTTTGCCATCAAGGAGGTTAGAATAATTTCTCCATGGAATCCAATTAATTACCGAGTCTGGAAATAACATCTTTAATATTATAGAAAAATTATAGCGTGTGCTTGGGCAATTTTAGATTATGCTTTCATATTTAAGAGGGGGCTTTGAAATACTTTTTACCTTCGTCCTTAAAATAATTCCCCCTGTGAGGTGCTGACTGTCATCTTCCAATAGTGGAGTTTAATTAAGTGAAAGTTGAGAGATAATGCTTGCCCATTCCCGGCAGAGTCTCCTGATAGTTTGCTAAATTAATGAACAGAGTGTTAACGAAGAGATGCCAAGCAGAACCGGGCGTCTGTTTGTGACACCTGCCGGTCAGCGATGAGCTGCTGAGGAGAGACGCACTCTTTCAGAGTCCCGGGGCGCCGGCAAATCATTCACTGAATGCACAGAGAAATTGCACTTTGTTTAAAACTTGGACATGGCAGCCTGCCTTCTGAGGACACGCAGCCTCCGAGCCTGCCTGCGCCCCGCCTGGCCCGGTAGAGGACTGTCACTGGAGTCTGCACCGGAAGGCACTTGGTGTGGGGAGCCATGGAATGACATTATCAAATGGAGCCGTACAAATTATAGACTCCATTCTGTTCCTTGATTGAATCTGATTGCCAGCTCTGTGTCTAATGGTTATTACCCAATTTCCATATTATGAAGTCTTGCACAGTTCTCTCAATGATGCTTTACTTGATTCAGCATGATATTGAGCTGCTTCTCAGTCTATCTACTCACAATCCTGATTCTGTCGCCTCTCTCCGTGCACTTACCTCCACTCACTCTGCCCGCACACTGAGAGCGAGCTTGGCTACGCTTGGGTTTTTTCCCTGCGAGCGATTTCACAAGCCTTCCCCGGTCTCATTTAGGTCTTTGAAATATGATTTGCAGTAGATGTGAGCTGCTTGTTCTTTGCAGGCTCTTCTCTTCCTCTCGTGCCCCTGTGAAGGCGTATTTTATATTTTCCTGGCGGTCAGAAAGTTGTGGCTAGTGCTCATTTGCTCCATTGCTGCAGCTGGGGAAATGCTCGAATCAATTTTCTCTGGTGCTGGGGTTTGGAAGAAGCACCTCACAGATTCACCGGGTGATTAAGGGAGCGACAACAAGCACCAGAGGAACCCCGTCCGAGTCTGTGCTCTTCAGTGAAACATCTTTCATTTCCTGTGCTGCTCCTGTGGGGGCATTTTTATCCTGTGCCCTGTGCTAAAGGCTCAGCTCTTCAGAGCAGAGAAGATCCCTCGGAAGTGGGCTGCCCTGGGCGTCTTTGTTCCTGTGCTTCCTGTGAGTTTGGAGGGAATCTCTGTGATGGCATCAGTGTATGGACGCCTGGCCTCCAGACAGGAGCCACCGGTTCTCTGCAGAGCTCGGGACCTGGCTCCCTGCGCACCGCCCGAGGGAGCGGCACCGCACCACCTCCGCAGCACATCGGCACCTCTGGGAGAAAGACTTTGTGGGACTTTTTCAGGGACTGTAAAGATCTTATGAAGGCAGGATGTATTAGGGAAGGAGAAATTGCTTTTGCAAAAACCTGCTGCCTCATTTCTGCTTTTCCAGGGAAGGTTAGCGTTTATCTCTGACCTGCTCCGCCGTGGTGTGGGGAGAACCTTCATGGACTCGCTAGTGAAAGGCAAGAGCCTGTGGCAGAGCCGTTGGGATGGCAGAGAAGGAGCTAAGCTGCTGTGCAGAGTCGAGGTGAAGGACTCGAGTTGTAGTGGCACTGCTGTAGTGAGGTCGGAAGGGGATGGAGGCGGGCCCAGAGCAGCAGACATCGGGGGTCAGGGAGCGGAGATCAGAGGCAGAGGCATCACGGCCTCCTCTTCCTGTGGTCAGCAGTGGCCGAGGGTGTGCAGGCGGCACATTGAGCAGTTTCCCATTCTGAGCGGCGCCTCCCAGGACTCAGGCTCAGCGGAGATGTCTCGTGGACACACAGCTGTGGTGCCAGGTCTTGCCTGGAAACTCTGTGAAGTGGGGTGAGCACCAGCCCTTGGGACAGCGCTGCTGGCAGCAGTGACCCACCTCAGAGGGGGATCTGCTTGCTCGAAAGTTCAGGGACCCCCGAATCTTGAGGCAGAATCTGTAGACCTTCCCACAGAATGAGAGCTGGTGAATTGAGCCACTTGGAATTAAAGGAAGAGGTGACAGTAGGAGGCGTGGCTGCTGGATGATCCCACTCACTGGAGACAACTGGAAAAGCTGGGTGGTTTATTTTTTTATTATTTTATTATTTTTTTGTCTTTTTGAGACAGGGTCTCGTTATTCAGTTCAGGCTGGCCTTGAGCTCACTTTGTAGCCCAGGCTGGCCTTGAATCACAATGATCCTCCTGCCTCCACCTCCTGAGTGCTGGGATTACAGGCATGAGCCAGCACACCACACCTTTAAACTAGGTAGTTTAAAAGTGTGTAAGCCAGCGAACAAACAAAACAAAAAGACGAAGAAAAGAAATTTCTTAAAAGCACCGAACATTTATGAAGAAATCATGGACTTCCCGGACCAGAACGCCAGGGCCCAGCTGTCTAGCCACTGTTGCTCTATGATTATTTCTTGATCCAAAAGAAATCATCCCGAAATGAGGCATAGGCTTGGAGTGATGGGCTGAACCCAGACTCTCTCAGGATAGGGAACCCAAAACATGCCTGTCCACTGCCTCAGACCCTGAGAAATGCCATGTCCAGGCACACCATGGTCATGCAGCCCTCGTACCTCAAGTCATGGAAGACCAGTGTTGTTTGCACCTCAGTTAAGGAGATTATGTACTGGGGCTCCTCAAAAGGCTTGTGGGAAATAAAACCAAACCTTCATGGAGGGCGTCACACTGTTCCTACAAATACTGTCTTTGCAAGTGCAGTGACCTCATACACTCAAGGATGAACCTGCACTCAGGACTCTTCAAACCAGAGTAAACAGAGAGCAGAACCAGGTCTTCTAAACCTTGAGCCTTTGTAATCCTTAAGTGCATGTCATAAACTACTACCTAATTAAAAGTGAAAAAATAAATTTGACAGTGCCTGCAGTGAAAATACTGTACAGTCCTATATAAGAGACTTCAAAAATGACCATGTAGGACTTCTGGAATCGAAAATACAGTAAGCAAAAATAAAAGCTCAGTGGACAGGCTCAACAAATTAGATACAACTAAAGAGAAAATTAGTGAACTGGAAGATGGATTAGCAGGATAGTCCTAGAAAAAAATAAAGAATTAAGAATATGAAATACAGCAAGTGGGAGATATGAAGGGTGTGGTTAGAAAGCCTGACATATTTTTATTTGGGGTCACAGAAGGAGAGAGAGTCAGTAAGAACATGAAGAGATTCTGGCAGATGTTTCCAGAACTACACCAGCTTACAGATTTAAGCCACCAGTGAGTAACAGGAAACCGTGCACAGACACACCATAGTGAATTGAATTAAGCTAAATACCAAGATAAATTATGAAGCAACTTCTCAACGGAAGTACAACAGGATACCTTCAATATGCTGAAAAATAGCACTGTCACTGTGCAGTAAAGGTACACTTCAAGGTTGAATTTGAAATTCCAGGAGTCCATGTGAGTCTGGATGGTTTCAAACTGTCTCAGGAAACCATATAAATCAAGAAGGAGGCACATGAAACCACATATGGACTGGCTAACTCTGCAGTCCAGCCAGGGGACGGCAGTTGCTGCGAACCCTGGGCTTAGTAAGGGGCAGCCAGAACAGAGGCTCTGGGGAAGGCTGGTGCCAGAAGTCTGCGGGGGTAAATTGACAGGGCCAGATTAAAACTCTGGCAGAAAGACGAGGTCCTTGCCTGTTCCAGAGGGGGCTGATCAGGTCTGAGAGCTGGTTCCTGGGATTCAGAAAAGGATTTGGGATTTCCTGGATGAGGGGCAGCTGCGTCCTGGGCAGAAACCCATTCTGAGCAATCACAGGCCCTGTAGGAATGAATTCTCGCCACCATGTTCTGGGGAGGGCCTCAGTCCTGCCCCAAGGCACCCTGCTTAGGCCTGGCTTGGAGGAGAGCTTCTGGCGCAAACAGCTCACTGCTGTGGGCCAGGCAGCCTCCCGGCCGCTGGTGTGAGGTGGGAGGCCAGGGAGGAGGGGCTGCTGTGTGGCCTGGTGGGGAGGGCAGGGGTGTTTGTGGAGCAGGGAGAGGTGGGCAGTGGTCTGAGGAAGGGGGCTGTGTCTGTGACGTGTATGGTGCTGTTGATACCCAACCTGCTACTTTTCTCCTCTTCTATTTGGCTTCTGGATCCTCTGTCAAATGCAGTTCTCTTCCCTGTTGGGGAAACAGGAGAAACCCCTGTGGCGGGCAGTGCCTGGCGCTGTGCGGTGACGCAGTGGGTCACCGTTCCTGGTGGTGGTGCACAAAGTGGTTGTTTGCCAAATGCATTCCAGCACCACGAGGTTCTGTAAAGCCAGTTGACACCGGTCTGCGTGGCACTGACAGCTTCTGACTGCAGGTGTGGCTTGCAGACGTGTCATTCTGGTCGCTGGGGTGTTGCCGGTGGCACTGGGTGCTGTTGTGAAGACTCTGGACTCCAGCGGGCAGAACCGGGCGTGGAGAGGAGCAGGGCCTGTGGCTCCCGGCCCGCTGAGCGGGTGGTGCTGTGCTGGGGTTTGCGCAGGGCGCAGTGCCATTCCGGGCGGCACATGTGCTCCCGTTCTGTGCT